GGGGGGGGTACCCTCAGTTATCGGCTTAAAATGCGTGGGTTGCATATGAATCCGAAAATATTCCTGGTCAAATAATCTTAATCTCAGCTCCAGGTACTTTAAATCAACTCTTCCATCATGATTCTTGGAAATAGGCTCTGGGGATGACTTTTGAATAAAGTAACAAGTGAAAAATAAAGATCTTTATGATCATTATTTTTTTCAGTTTAAAGGTCATAAGTAATTTTTGACCCTCTTAGACGAGATTCGAACTCGTGCCATCGAACCAAATGGACCAACTTATAGGGAAATTTGTTGACTTATAGAATTTTTGCCAATCAGGAGGATGACTGTGTGGATTTAGGTTTAAATGCCTCTAATCATTATAAATGATAACGATTTGGCATTAAGTAAAACCATCTTTATTTTGACAGCTTTATGGAACCAGCAGGACTCATATCCACCAGACTCCAATTTCTAGTTTTATTTGATGAGTTCAGTCACATCAGAGAGCAGAAGGTCTTGCAGTGAAAAGAGAATATGGGAGGAAAACATCTGGGAAAGATCTTTCACAAGTGTCATAAATCAGACAATAAGCTGACGGGGGTATCCCATGGTCATCCTTCGACCCCAGTTTCAAATCGCCACTAAGCACGCAACAATAGTCAGTAAACCACAATACTGAAATTTGCTATTCCCTCCCCTTTGTCCAAGCTTGGGAAAGTGGAATGGGGGGGGGAGGATATAGGCGGGGAAGCGACGCCTCCTCAAATTCCCCTTTCCCATTTCACCAAGGGGTACCACTGGCGCCATCAACACCTGGCTTTTATATTGAGGACACACATTTCAGTTGCCTATCTTGAGTTTCAATCAGTTTTCGCCCTCTGCGTGGGAATTAGATAGGACGTACTACTTAAAAGCACTTAAGCGACATCGTGACTCTCTGATAGCACTATATTCTCAATTACCTTTTAATTACATATCTTCTTATTCATCCAATTTCTAACACTTATGAGAAGAAACAAATACATATGACATAGTAACGAATAAACGACTGTGCTACTCACTTGTAAACCGAGAATGCAAGAGTGAAGATAACAGAGACCAGCAGCTGCTGTTTTTGCTAGTCGAATTGCGGCAATTGTGTCAACCACATGAACTTGTAAGAAATCGTACAATGAACCATAAGGATGATAGTGTGATATGATCCACAACTGAGTACATCCATATCTGCAAAAAAACGTAATTTTTCTGATATTAGCCGTGTTCTTAAAAAGCGAATTGGGGAAACACTGTGTCCTAAATTAACTTAGCTTACCGTGATGTGATGTCACTGGCATAGTACCCGAGGATATTTTCGTGCCTAAGAAGAACGCTGCTGTAGATGTGCGTCTCTCGAGCCCAGCTTGCTTCATCTCGACTTGAAAAAATTTTCACGGCTACATTCTCTCCCCTGTAGACACCTCGCCACACCTCGCCATACCGTCCCTTTCCTGAAACAATGGATTAAATAAATTATTACCCTAATGATGAGCTGAGTTAGATTACATTGAAAGCACTAATATGGCGTCCATTTAGGTAAATATTTAGGCCATAAAAGCTATTTCGTTAGCCAAAAAAGCCTCCGAACAGGCTATTGAAAATTTGTAATAACTTTGACACATTGACGTTTAGAGTACGAAATCTTCAATTTGAGACACCAACTAAAGTTACTGAAAAGTCATTTTGTGCTCAGGTATAGATACTAGGGATTTTAAAAGGAGATGCCAATCTTAGTCACTTAGTTGGAATTTTGAAGCTTATTCCTTTCTGTAAATATCATAGAAAGCGAGAAAACACCCGGTAAAATAAGTAGTTTCGCTCGTAAATTCATAATAGCCTTCTTTTGAATTGAAAAGACAACTTCGGACAGACTTATATCAGGAAAATGTCTGTATTTTTGCAAGAAGGTACATATTGAAAGGGAGGGGGGAATTCAGACATCTAACATTAATTTCATAAACTATCTTCAAGTTAAGATTAACAATGTAATAAGGATCAAGATTTAAAATTTAAATTGGACAAGGGATGCACTCTGAAAGTGCAAGCTCCTCCAACTGCCAAAGATTGGTTAAGTCGATGACCTTTTTCCATCGTTCTGGCAGAGTAAAAATTCCCCGTTCGTAAAATGTCTGGTCTTTGCTATTAAAAAACTGAATTAGGTGTGATCCGACATCATCCGCGTTGTTAAAAATTTGACCATTTAAAGAGTTTTGCATGGAACGAAACAAATGGTAATCCGAAGGTGCACGGTCTGGGCTATATGGTGGGTGTGACAAAACATTCCAACCCAGTTCCAATAATTTTTGCCGAGTAACCAAAGATGTGTGGGGCCTTGCGTTATCATGATGGAAACCAACACCCTTCCGATTTGATAATGCCGGCCGCTTATCTTCAATTGCATCCTTCAATTTTTCGAGTTGTTCAACATACATATTTGAATTTATCGTTTGGTTCTGAGGCATGAGTTCAAAATACAAAATTCCTTTGTGATCCCACCACACTGACAGCATAATCTTTTTTGGTGAATCTCTGCTTTTGATACTGTTTGGGCTGGTTGATCTTGCTTCACCCATGATCTCTTGCGAGTAACATTGTTATAAACTATCCACTTTTCGTCGCCAGTAACTAGGTTCTTCAGAAATGGATCATTCTCATTGCGTTTCAGTAGCGGCGAATCACAGATGCTAATCCGTTGCGTCAAATAAATTTCCTTTAACTGGTGAGGGATCCATAAATCAAGTTTCTTGACATAACCAAGGGTTTTTAATTTTTTTTCAATGCATGTATGCGACACATTGAGCTTCTCTCCAATATCTCGTGTTGTGCTGTGACGATTTGAATCGATAATGGCCTCGATATGGGTTTCATCCACTTCGACTGGGCGGCCAGATCGTTGTGAATTTTTCAGTGAAAAATCACCGGAACGAAATCTTTTCAACCAATTTCGACACTGCCTTTCTTTTAAGGCTTCATCTCCATATACGGCACATAACTTCTTTTGTGCTTGCGATGCGTTCTTGCCTTTCGGAAGTAATACAATAAAATGCGTCGGAAGTGCACGTCCTGTTCTTTCATTTTTAAATTGGGATAAAAACAAAACTAAAGAACTAAACAAAAAAAATTATTTACTAATTAACCTAGAAGCCCATACAGTAAGAAAAAAATATAGGTTAGATGCTCTGCCCACGTTAACAAAACAAAAGAAAGTAAAGAGTGAATCCGTCAACAAAAACGGCAATGACTTAGTTGCCCACCCAATAATTGACATTGAACAAGTAAAAGAAAAAGAAAAAAGAGAGAAGCTTGTTAACACACCAATACACTCTTGAAGGGATATTTGTCGAGCCACGGTCGCCTGGACAAGAAACGGCACGCCACTTCCGCTCCCACTAGACATTGTACCTCCACCATGAGTCTGCAACGGCAATGTAAACAAAATTGTTAATTTCGTTATGAGTTTGAAATCAGAGACAAAATGAAATGTGTGTATATCAAATTGGGAGGCATTTACCACTGTGATGGTACGCTAAACATATCTCCCCCCTCTCTCTTTTTAATTATAAGAGAATTCAAACATCCGGAGTAACGTTTGTTAGTGAGATTGAATTTATAAACGTCGGAGAAAAGATTGGAGGGCGATAAATAACTCCTTCAGTGATGAACAAGGTCATCTAACTTTACTGACTACATTTTCCAAATTGTTAAAATATGGGGAAGTGCTTACTTTGTCTCTACTTATAATATCCCGATGAAATAGCTCGAATGAAGCCAAACCAACAACTCGAATTTCAAAGACACCCAGTGAAGGGCCTGATTACCTTTGTTATACAACGAGCATATCCGAAGCCAAGACTTCACGTGACTTTTAGCTAGAGAAAAATGTTGTGCACTTCTTTAGGAAGCCCTTGGCACACACCACAATTTATACAACTAGAATTGATAAAGTAAGCATCAAAACCAAAAAAATCTTTTCACAAAGCTAGGTTGTAATCACTTCATGGCTTACCGGAGTGGTTTTTAATTCTGAATTGGGACAAGTAAAATTTTAAACGTCATTTTAAGTACAAGGTAGATGTCCAAACCGATAAATCAGACTCACAGAGACATCGACAGAACTTCTTAAGCAAGATGGGGTTATATTTTTATAGCCATACTATTCATAACAGGTTCAGTCCATTTTATCGAATTAGAATTGCATTTTGTGGAAAGCCATTCGTTATTAGAGCCCAAGTACCACAGGAGGCCGCTATTTAAAGAAGGAAAAACAACTTTGTCATTTGAAGTAACAGTACTGACTAGTAATAAAATGTTCATGTGCATCCTTTTAACTTGAAAAATCCATGTATCAAAGGGGTTGGGGTTGCTCGACGAAATAGGGAGAAGGTGATTCCTTCGAACAGAAGGACATCAAGTCTGGAAAAGTATGGCAGGCAAATAAAGGGCGACTCTAACGTCTCATGAAGTTCACTCCTCCATTTACTGGAACTTGAGAGCCACGCACCCTACTGTCCAATTCGTATGTTCTCAACAATCGTTAAATAAGTCATCGTGCTTTATGAGCAATAGAGGTGGGAATAGATGAAGTTAAATTAAAGCAAGGACTTAGTGTAATTCTGTACTGTGAAAACCAGCTTTGCTTGGAGGAAATAGCATGAACTGTATGGTGAATTGAACATGTGTATTTGAAATAAAGTTTAATCAAATGACTGGTTGAGGCCTTTTCTTCTGTTCCAATAATATTGTCAAAAAATCTTGCGTATAGAGGGGGAAATCTGAGCTACTTCAAACCTTTTTAAGCGACCTATGAGAACCTGAATGAGTTTTCGTGCGAACAGCGTATTAAATTAAATGAAAACAAATGCAAATAGATAAGCGAGCTATTGTAGTGGCTACTATATAATACTTATTTTGAAAAAGTACCTACTTGAGTTCAATTTCTTTGAGGTACTTACTCTAATCAACTGGATTAAAAAATTATTTCAGTATAATGCCACAAGATCGCAAAGCACCTAACCTTCTGGTGATAATGAGGAGATTTATGAAAAAAACAGAAATATTTCAATCAATGATGAATTCAGATAAAGGAAATGAGTTTTGTCTCATGTTGATGCATTCTAGAAAAATTTAACTTTCCTGTTTCAGCTTGGAAGGAAGATTTAAGGAAACATCGAATTACATACACACACACGCACACACCTTTAAAAGCCGTCCCTTCCCCTTTCGATGAGCAAGTGTCAATGGGGAGGCAAATGAAATGGGTGGTAGGGGAGCATGTTAAACGATTTGAGAACATACGAGTTTTATTTGGCGTAAAGAGCCTTTGCGCGATAGGCATCGGTATGTCGGAAAAGGTACACACACACACACACTGAAAGTCTATCTTGAAACCACATCGAGTAAGAAAAGCTATCAATTTGAGTCGTTTTCCCTGAAAATCTTCGAGGAGGCTTTCAGGTACTAATGGATGTGAATAAGTTTTCTGAGTGGAAGGGGAGCATATTTACTGCTTTATGGTATTCAGCCTAAAAAACACTTGAAATTGCTGACTCCACTACGACATCGTAATACTCAGCTGTTTATTTTTCAGTGAGCAGTTACTTTAAAATTATTGTTTACCTGAATGAACATAGGTTCATTGAGATGTCCTATATAAAAATCCATTTTTGGACTCATCTAAGGCCCTAACAGGACTGTAAGGAATTCCTATTACCAAATAGGCTAGTATTAGTCCTTTTTGAAGGATAAACAAAAATAGTGGGACCGGCCATTCTATTAATAAACTAGTCGGAAGGTAGTAGACGTGGAAGATTCGAATTGGTTCAGTATTTCAGAGCAAGAGTAAGTGAATTTAAATTAAGTGCCAAAATATTGAGCAACTGAATCTGACAAACCAAAGGAAGAACAATTCTTTTATTACCTTCGGCTTCGAAAATCTCTTCAATCTTTTCCATTTGCCCCTAATAGATAATCAGGTAATAACGCGGTAATGTTTCATTTTGTGTTGCCTTAGTTAATAATATAATACGCAAGACTCAACAATATTAATTTACTTTACTTCGAGAAATAGAACTTATAACATTCATTTTCTAGGGCGGAAGATATAGCCATTAAAGAAATATTATCATTTGAGGTGCAAAAAATAAATTCTAAAATAATCCAATGAAAATATCCTTGAATTAAATGTTGTGGATGGAAGAATTTATGAGTTTTTAGCTTGTATCACGAGATCTATTAAAAACTTCCTACGATTTATACGAGACGAACACATGCGAATAGAAGTGGTGTGTACTGGACAAAACAGTTTGTTTATATTAATAGATTTTAAAGATACGCTATCTATCTACTTCAGCAATTAAATGACAAATTTTGGAACACAGTGATAAAGTGATAATTAAAGAAAGGAAGTATATACTAATTATAAAATTATAACTATAAAAATTAAATCGTGATCCACTTACATTTACGGGTACAGTTGTAGCGGAGTCAATATGTTTTTGAGGATAACTGTTCGAATTATTGAAGGAGGGAATACAGTGATTACTAGAATTATTTTTGACAAAGTCGACTTGGGGAAGGCTGTTCAAAGAGGAGTGAGCATAGTTTTTTATACAGCATTTGAGTAAATGAGGACAGTGGACGTTTGATAGCACATGGGGACTATGGCCATATGACTGGGATTTCGTCAAAAATTTGCTCAAGTTTGAGGAAGTTTGGGAATCTGAACCGTAAGAAGAAGATTTGCAACGACAGGGACGTCTGTCAGAACGTTTTAAATTCAGTGATATCAAGACAAGGAATATTAAAATGCAAAAAAATAAAACGAAGCAGGTGACAGCGGCAACAAATATTGTCTCGTTTGTAAAGTAGGAAAAGGTATTTCGTCCATTAGAACCAATGTTTGAAAAAGAAGGTTCGATCGATGTCAAAGTATTACTTTCCACAAGAAGATCTTCATCTACAAAAAATTGTTGTTTGAATTAAGCCAAAGCAAATTTTTTCTGATTATACAAGTCATAACCAATATACCTGGAACGTTAATGCGATTACAGAAGTCTTCATTACTGCAACAGAATATTGAAGATTTAGCGTCCGATTTAGCTCCACAAATTAATCTCATTTGAAAGCTATCATTTGTGAAGCATCCATAGGTAAAATATTCCGTGTTATTTATGATATCTCGAGCACTATAACACCCAGAGTTACTTTTACAAGTATTATTGACGTGTCCATCTGATTCGCAACGGTCAGACGGATAGCAAAAGCAGCTTAACATTTTAATTGATAAAAAGCTAATATAAATAAGCTTTAATAGTTGAAATCAACAAGTAACACGAAGACTTGAGGACTATTTAAAATGTCGCTTTAATATTAACCTTGAATCTGTTTAAAACATATATGGAATTTAGATAAAATAATTAGATTTTAGGCCTATATAATTGAATATCGATTAATTAGTGATATAATGGTATAATTTTAAAGCTATTTAAATATTTTGAGTAATATTAGATCATTATATAAAACTGATCGGATTTATCCACACATTAATAAAAATCAAAGTTAAATGTAAGAAGTTATTGATTTTTTGTCACTATTTAAGATTTTTTAAAGGATTTTATTTGATTTTGGACATCAAATCAACTTTTTGTTTGGAAAATAGAGAAATTTTCATTATTAGGATTTAAAGGAATACCGTCTGAATTTAATTAATGAATTTTATGCGAATGCCCTTAAAATTACTTCATTCACTTGTTTTGCTACTTTAATATAAGGTTGTATTAGGTTGAAAGAATGTGTTCTAATTATTATCGATGTGAATTTCTTTATTATGCAGTTGAATTTAGTCTCCATATCAGTTATTAAATCATCTATAATATAAGAAAATAAAGTACAACTTCGACGAAATAAAGTTCTTATGATATCCGAAATTTTAGTATTTTCTTATCCCATACTCCAAAATAAGCGTCACTCACTATCTCTGCTCACTTTATTCCTCAATACGTGGCATTCCTTTTGACAGAAGTTTAAAGTAGGATCTGCCAAGCAAATATATGAATCTAAACTGACTTGAAAACTAAATGAGTTACTTGTTTGATCTAAACAGCCTTTTCGTACTTTTCTCAGGATGTCACGTATATTTTGTTCACTTTCTAAAGTTTGCTTGCCAATTCTGGCGAATATTTTTTGCCCTTTGCTTTTCTTCCCACCAGTGAGTTAACGATATCCATAAAGAATTTTGTATGTGAACTTTGAGATCACAATGGATCTTGAAAGAATACTGCACCGTAAGCTAATATTCGCCTAATCATGGGGGAGTAACCCAGGAAGATAACCCAATTCTCAGTATTTTATCGAGTAATGTACACTTATAGTCCTGAGATAACTTATTCACCTTTCTCATTGTATCTTCTATCTATTTCTCATCCGTTTGAGTCCTATAAACATTTGGTCTTCAGTGTCTACTTATGAAGGCACAAATTCATATTTTGAAATGTTAGGTGTTGGGCTGCTTTAGAACGGTTATGCGAACTAAGCCCCATAGAAGGAATAACTCAAGAAGCATGTCTCAAGATAAGTATGGTGGTGGCCAGGCAGCCACAGCAATTTGTGTATAAATAAAAATACTTATTCAACCTGCTTAGAACATGTCACTTTATCTGTTTAGATATCTGTGTTCAAATGCGCCCACTCGCAACGAGATCGTCAATGAGTACTTCAATTACTACCTAAAACGGGTCCAAATTCAAGTACTTGCCATTATGCGACTTAATCCCCTAGATATACTCTCTGTTTATTGTGTTAAAGAAACCGAAATTAAATCAAGTAGATTTGGGTGTGGAAAAATCAGGAAAATGTTCTTATATATTTGTATTATAAATTGCGGGAAGGCGAGGTGAAAATATATTTTACTTTCTATTCATTTTTGAAGCAATTTTAATGTAAAGTTGCTTAACTCATTATAAATACGTGTTCCATTTCAATACAAAACATTTACTTCAAATACTTGTGCAGTCTAGATGGAATATTCAATGAGTAATGCCAAACTGAATATTAAAAGTCTGTCAGTTGTTTTACTAGTGAACATTTTTACCTATTTTACTTATGTACAAGGGTGGGTTATTTCTCGTTGCCCTCGTCGGTACTAATATCGGTTGACCTTGTTTTATGTTGATTAATCAATCATGTCCTACCTGTTTCTCTCCTTCTCTTTGTTGCTAAATTAAAATGAAACTGCTTGCAGTGCTGTTTTTAAATTCTATTATTCATTAATACATTACCGAGATTTCATTTGGCATCTTTTATGTTCCTCTCTTTGAAGTGATTCAATCATGAAAGTTCCTAGCCTTCTTAAATACATTTTAGTTATTATGATAGAAGGAAGCGTTGGGATTCGTTTTTGAATGACCTAGGCCTAGTTTTTGTCGCTGTGTTTAGTATCTGAGTTAGATGAAAATAGAAGGCAAGTTTTAAGCACCACCAAAGGAAATACTAACAGCACGTGACTTTGGTGGGAAAGTCATCCCGACGCCACTGTTACGAGAAGTCCATATTCTATCGCTCTTATCATTAATATTTGGTATTCTTGCCGATGCATATAAATCGATGGGCAACGATTACGTGCCATCTAACTTAACAGATTTATACTGTTCCACCGGTAGATAGAATGCTTAAAGCTGTTTGACAATAGTGAGCTCCTCCAAATAATAAATAATGATTTCTATTTGCCTTGAATAAAGGAATGAATTCCAATTAGTTCACGATTTCAGTTAGGTCATTTCAAAGGAATATCTCAACATGCGAACAATCAGTGTACTTATGCCCAGTTATATTAGTCGACTGAAATCCTAATTAATTCACGTAATAAAAGTACTACTTCATATATTCGTACGTGAAATATTGACATGCTGTAACGTGTGTTAGACGTGAATTGGCTGATACCTAACAGATACTTTTCATTATTGCTTTTACACAGGTGCTTCCTAAATACATTGATTTATGGACCTTTCCCATTGACCGCTTTCAAATAAAACATTTCGTTAGCCTCTATAAGTCGTCAATAAATTTGTGACATAAAATATGTCCTATTAATAGGGTTTCATATGGCAATTCGTCATTGAAAATTATATTACCTCTAGAAATTGTGAACCAACGGCGCCGCTAAGGGTAATCAAAGGGAACTAATGCGCGGTGGAACATTGTGGAAAGTGCGGTGTGTGTGTGTGTGTGTTGAAACTTATCACCAAATGATCCATTTAGTTTATGTAATGTAATAAAACATTGATTGTACTTAAGGACTAAGCATGCTTGGAGTTGGCGATGCTCGCTTGAAATTTAAATCACCCTGTTCACTCTGGGTTTCATCAACTGTTGACGTGGCTTGACTAATTTAGGGAGGAATTTTATACAAGAGGATTTTTCCATGTCCCGTTGTATTGATGTGCATTCACTTGAACTTCCTAGAGGATTAGGGGGGGGGGGGGTCGGTCGAGGACTTATTTGTGTAGTATAAGCTGCTGCGAGTATTCCTATCAAAAATAATGAAAATATCTGCCTTTTCAATCCAATTTTCATTCTTGGTCGTACTTCTACTCATCCACTTAAGAAATAACCAATGGTAAATAGACACACAGCTAGTGTCCTTCTCAGCTTTGTGAATTTACCAATAGGAAGGAGAGGATGGGGCTAAACGTCGGTAGCAAAATACTTCTTATTGGAGGAGATTAGAGAGAAGGCAACAATTTTGTGATCAATGAGTCGAAATCGGAAATAGGATTCAGAATAATGTTAAAAACACACAATGCAGATGGCAGGTCCAGAAGGCCAAGTTGGCCTAGCTAGGTTAAGTTGAAAATGTGCTACATAAGATGTTCATTTTTCGAGATACTAATGCCCCCAGTAGGTCATGTTCCTACAGGCACTAATTATGTATAATGAGACAGACTCAGGCTTTTGAAATTATGGTTGTATATGAAAGTGTGCCAATGAGCGGACGACATGACTTCTTTTCATCTGCAGGTTCCTGTATTTTCTGTTTTGCTTATTGCCGCTACGGAAGTTAACCAAGAGACCGTTCGATCTGATTTATTTTGACTTAAATCAATGGAATATATATGTTGACTTTGTTCTTGAATAGCTTCTTGGTAGGTGACTCAGAAGTACTTGGGACGAATGCCTATGGGTAACAGCCCTCTTTGTGCCCAATCCTTTGACACAGTTTGCACTAATATCACTTGAAAGGACACTGCTGAAGGGAAATCCCATCTCAAACACTCGCCACCGTTTTAAACAAGAGACGCCCTTCCCCCCAACAATGGCTCCAAACTCAGAACACAGTAATATACGTGGAATTAGGCAAATAGCCTACTGTTCTCATAATGCTGCCTCCACCAACGACCCATAATAAGAATATTTGAACAATTATGTAAAATTGTTACTATGGGCTGTAAATTTCTGTGTTGGTTCTGGTTGAGCTGATGTGAGTGAGAGTTTGGTTTTAAAGACTCTCACGTGCAGATTTAATAAAGCTTAAATGGGCAAGAACGGGAGGTACTTCTACGTATTTTCTAATTTTTTTTAAATGATGCAATTTGGGCTACATTCATTATTCCGGGGGGTAATGATACTCTTCTTCAATTCATATAATCTACCTTTGGTGATTGTAGTGAGCTCTATCAGATTAAAAGCTGTCGATATTCTCCCATCCACCTGTCCAAGAATCTGAATGAAAAAGCATAAACGACCGGGCGAAAACCTTCGGAATGCAAGAAGTCAAGAACCCAAGATGAAATCTAGGAATGATAGGATGAAAAAGAAGCATTAGGGATTGGTTCAAGCTCATTACTTGCCAATTTTGACATTTCACGAGTTCAAACGCTAACCCGTGGTAAAAAATTGTGGTTTCTCGCAGTTCCACGAGTAATACTCTTTACCAAAAAAAAACACGACAGATTTAATGATGGAAATGTGCAAGCATTACATTGCAGTTTGAGCAGTACTTCAAGTTGCATCACCTCGATCATCTCCGACAAGCCTTAGTCGTATCGCAAAATACATTGCATTCATTACAAAATAACCAACCAACCAACCAAAGCATCAACAAATCGCCCCCCCCCCCCACCAATTATAGAATAAAGCGTATCCTTCAAATTGTAATTATTAGTGAAGAAACAGCGGTACTCAAATATATGACTAGTAAAAATTTCAACCACGCCATGTAGTCAGCACACAAGGAAACAAATCAATTTATGAGAGAGAGAGAGAAAGAATCAAAAGGAGAGAGAGAGAGAGAGAGAGAGAGAGAGGAAATCAACTCAACATATGATTAAATGAACAACCGACAGAAGCAAAAGCGACATTTGTGGGCGCATTGCGAACTCCCTGCTCACCTCGCTTCTGATTCAAAGAGGTCTCTGCAGTGAGAGCGGCTTGGGAAGGACAAGGACGAGTCCGTGTGGATGTGAGACCTCGTAGAAGCAATTCGGACGACTTGGTCGGTTCACCTCGAGACACGGCTAGACATTCAGTGATGAGATCGTTGGTTATACGCTCGCTTACTACTGAGTCACCGCGATAGTTCGGATGGCGTTGGATTAAGTAGCGCAGCCAACGTGCGGTGGTCGGCAGCTCACCTAAAATTAATATAAAAAAATAATCGCTTTTAAAGAATCTGGACATATATACGATATATATATATGTGTGTGTGTGCATATGTGTGTGTGTGTGTATGTGTGTGTGTGTGTATTTTTTCATAAATTATGGTCAATAAGCGTTATATGACAGGAAGAAAGCAAAACATAACTAAAGTGGGGTTGACAGATTTTTCAACCTGGAGATGACTCATCAAAATCAAGGGGAGCTTGGCAAGCGCAGATTATGCTCAAGATCCGTTCACAGAGTAATGGCCACCAACACTTATTGAATTAATAGCATGCTTTTATTAACTTATCTGTTTGTCTCCAATCGTTCATTTAATATCATTTCACTTTCCAGCTCTACGCATATATATAAATAACCCCGAGTCTGAACAACTTACTAGAATCGCGACAATCGATGAGATTAGAGATTATTGGTGATAAGAGGGTTTGAATGTCTACATGCGAGGCTACTCAAACCACAACTACCACTTATGGTCGCAAAGTGCAAATGGACTAACAATGTCAATTTTAAACCGAATATATTTTCGAATACATGCCCCGCCAATGTGGACGAAATAAACAAAATAGGAGGGATGACTAACAGTCAAGCGACTTTTCAACTACCTTTGGCGGTGAGGGCACCAATAAACCAGTTTTAGAACGTATATGGTCACAATAGAAGAAAGCTAAATAAATGAACGTACACGAAGACGCTGTCAAATGTGAAAATAAAGGAATTCCTAATTCATCTTCAACCCGTTAACGCCCAATCTTTATTTAGAAAAATGCACCCAACCGCGCTCACGCGTGTCTCACAGCAAACGTGATGCCGCAAACGTGATGATGGTATCAGGCGAAGGCTATAGGCGTGTTGAACATGTTTCAAACGACGATAGCGTCGCTTCTGTTACGAGTCTAGTACCAATGGAGTTTATTTTGAAAGAGGATCGTACGGTCTTAAGGCTGTTAAGGGGTTAAGGAACACGGGTTCTAGCGTTTCCTTTACAATAAGCAGAAAACTGTATACTTTTCTTTCCAGGTCTAATAGTAGTTAAGGATAAGCCACTCTTATATGCGAAATTGTTTACCGATATAAGCCAACTTTGTTGGGAAGCCATTTCATCTTTCCAATTTAGCCAAAAATATCAACAGATAGTTTCGTCCTGACTCTTATCTTCACCTCTTACTATCAAACTTGTACAGAGTCAAGTCCACCACTGAGCCTCCAAGCGAGGTGACCGATCGAAGTCTCTCCTCAGGGACCCACCTATTTGCAGCCCTCCGTGCACACATCTCCGTTACACCTCATTAAATCAATATTCTTAGGAATTCCTTTGTCATTTTATTCTTTGTGATTCAAGTTTGCATCCTGCGACAATTGATGAACCTCCGAGCTTATCTTACAGCATCTCAAACTAGTATTTAACTGTCGAGTGGAGAGGGGGGGGGGTATTCTATAAAAAATATAACAGTAAAATACCTAGCATTGATACTTAATTGGCGCAAGTCCTTATTGGGCGATTTTAAAATGGATGCAAATCCAAGTCTTGAAAAAAAAAAGAATCAAGTGATTTTTTTGAGTGGATGAATGGTGTTGTAGGAAGCACGGAAGCACTAAAAGTTTGAAACCTGAAACTTAAAGTGGAGTTCAAAGCAGACGGAGGATGTGATCTAGTTGCATGAGGAGATTATAAAGGGATTAATGTAGTGAAAACCGGATTAAAGTATGATTAGAAGTAAGTTGAAGTGGATAGCTTCCAATAAGTCATTATACTAAGTTATGCTTTCCTCAAATGAGTGCACATGTATATGGAAGTGTTCAATACATACCAATTTCTGTGATGTTAGAAGGAGGGGGAGGAGGAGGTAGCTAGATAAAATTTTAATTGTGACGGTGACAAAATCCATTGAAGCAGATTTTATTTTAATGAGTAAAGGGGAGAGAGAGAGTGAGTGAGTGAGAAGGAAAAAGATCCTTACCAGAGGCTCTGCGTGAGATTAGACTCAAGTATTGGTGTATGGTGAAGGCCGTGTTGGGATCGATCTCAATCAGGGTTAAGTAGTGTCGGATCAGTGCAATCAGACCAGGGAAGGAATCCTATAATGCAAAAAACGTATCAACACGAAGTGAGAACAAGCTACTAAACAAACATTTTACTCAGTAATCATATCAGCACAACTCTATGAATGAGAAAACTACTAATTACAATGAGAGAAATAAATTGGCCACACTGCTATTTCAGCGCTATTAAGCTGATTCGTCGATCAAGTATGTTGGTTAATGAAGGCTATCGTAAGCCAACAACTATAAGGTTAGCACTTCGCCTAATGATGGAGATGGGGGCGGGGAACTAAGACCTAGCAGGTCAACAAGAGAGAAGACGTCTTACCATGGAAACGGTGGTACACCTTGTGGAATGGCGGTAACCTCTTCTCATCCCTATAGCCTTAAACGCTGCTTAACCCGTGTATGTCTACTCATTATGCCTTTCAATAAATATTAGGAAGATGCGACCTGAATTAATCGAGGACAGAAATTCTTAACGCTTGTGTTAAGAGAAGCGTTCTTGAATCGATCGGCTTAGAAACTCCCCTTCCATTATTACGGCCATTTGTTCCAATTAGCATTGGTATGTCTGAATCAGTGTTGGTAAGCAGATTGCGTATGCTTTTCATTGACTCACATAGCTCAACGTATGATATAATAGAATTCAATCCATTCAAAGAGCGATATACAATGTAAAACAAGGAAAATATCAATAGAAAACGTCTTTCAACTCATTAATCCTTAACGTAAAGTGGTTCTTTTAAACACTTGATCATCTGGTGTAACACAAGGGTATGTAATTATCAGATCGAAATAAGAAAGGAAGAGAGCGGAATTTTTGTAAAATAGACGAACCAATCAAATGACTAAAAATCAACAATAAAACCATGCCGCGCAAATTCAACTTACACTTCCATTGATGATTTCATTGATGGTCATGGTGGTGTAGCTCTCCTCAGGTTGAATTTTATTCTCAGAACAGCCATCACCAGAATCAATACTTTCATCTTCGGACTCAAAAAGACTTCCATTGAAGGTGAGATTTGTGTTCAGTGATTCATTCGGAATTGTCCCCTCGCTGAAGTTCTGGGAGCGGCGAATTCGTCGACAAGCAGCTCTGCAGGCCTTTCTTGTCTTGTCTAGTAAAGGATGAGAAAGTTCCGGACCGAGGGTTTTAGATGAGGTTCGTAGATAAAATGAGTAGGTATGTCCAGTCCTATTGCTAGTAAAACCCACTACGATGTTGCCCATTCTGTTTGACCAAGTTTAAAAGTATCCTCTTTTAGGCATCCATCTACTTATTTTCTATTCAAGGTTCTTCAGTTCACATACTTATGGTGAAGGAGTCAAAGCGGTAATCTAGGAAGGATCAAGTCGGTCTATATTGGAGATTCTCGCATGACAACCTCCGGGATACAAGTCCACCAATCAACATCAATGTCAGGAACGCCTGGATTTCAGGTTAGCGCTAATTCCTCAAATACAATGCGTAAACCCATCATTTTGTAGCCAAGTGCTCGCCTTCCAACAAAATAAATCAAATCTTCCCTTCTCTAGAGGTATAATCAGATTCTAATTTACAGGACATATTCAAAAAGGAAAGAACTGGTCTATTTTATGAGTGCTCAAGTACAAGTAGTATGGCAATGACGGGGTTATTCATTTAGTTTAAATAGAAGTTTGGCCCATCAGTAACTTCTTCCATGCATTTAGAGGGGGGGGGGGGTTGCGAATGACAGATCATAATAAATTACCAAAATCGTGCCTGAATAAGTACAGTCGAAGTTTACTGATGTTAACAATTGTGAAGACTAAACTATAAATTAAAGCATAAACGTCCAATGTTATTAAATGGAAAAAGGGATAATCCTTCAAGAAGACAATCCCCACCTTTCCACAAAAGAGGCAAGAATTCAAGAATTAAATTGAGAGGTGGGGTGAGCGATAGACTTACCTCCATGTGGTGCACCCTGGGCAACGTATACTCATACGGCAAAAAAGTCTATAAACCGACAGTTGACTTCTGATTTCAAACTACCATCACCCCACTGTGCGTCATATTCGACCCCTTTCACAGTACTCATCTCACCTTTACTCTGCCTACAAATTTGGGGTGCGCGATAGACTTACCTCCTCGTGGTGCACCCTGGACAACGTATTTTCTTACGGCAAAAAAGTCTATCAATCGGCATACGTTTTTGACTCTGCCTTTGTGACTGTCAGTCTCTTTTACATCTGTGAATCACTCTTCTGTTCCCCACCCTTCTTTTACATCTGTGAATCGCTCTTCTGTTCCCCACCCCTATTTCTGCTACTTTGATGAACCTTCCTTCTGTGAAGCCCGCTTGTTATTTTGATGTTTCTCCCCACTGTGAAGCCCTGAAGTCAGCTTAAGAGCTAATGGTAGCTATCAAAACGCCTGCCATTTGAGATAAAATAAATCAAGAGGCTCTACCACGTCTTTCATATTCGTCAGACCTCATCCCCTCCGGCTATTATCATTTTACGAGCAAACGATTTCAAAATATGACTAAAATGGAACACGGCTTGAAGGAATGTTTCAACGCGAAAACGATAAGCATTGATTTTGTAAACTCTGGCTTTACAGACATACACGTTTTTACCAATACACGGATAGCCAGCAAATGATTGCTACAAGAAAGAGAGAATTACACCACAAATGTGGAGAATAATCAACACACACGAGGACGAGATGTCCAAAAGTTCGATTAATTGGTGCTGCAAAAAAAACATTCAAGAAGAGGAATCTATATGGAATAACATATATATATATATATATATATAATAAAATTATCTTTCGGTGCCTAAAGGATAGGACTTTATGTGGTGGGAAACTTCAAAGAAGTGTTTTAAATTGGCAACAATAATTGAACCTTAGAGAATGAAAGTTCAACGCCATAATACTCTTTCTTTTAAAACAGTACTCACAATGAAACTTCAAAATTGTGTCACACCGACAACCTTTGATAGTATCAGCTGCCAAGGAGATATATTTATTGTTCTAATTAGTTACACATGTCTACGTCTATTTCACATAGACAATGAAAGCACATGAGGGTATTAAAGTGAGACATTAGCAATTTCACAGGTGTCACCAACTTACAACACAAATCAATGCCCCCCCCACCCCCCCCCCCCCCCCACCACCCACCACTCACCAAAAAAATCAAATAAGCCCATAAGTTAAAGAAAAAGCAAAAACCGGAATAAAGAATGTTTAACACGTCAGAAAACTATGTATTTATTTATGCCATGATTTCAACTCACAACTCAAAATTATGATGCTTCAGTGCATAGCATTTCTTTGATGTGTCCGTACATGAGCATCGATAATAAATAAATAAATCATCGATTCACCACAATGCTTTCTTGAAAGTTCCTCCCCAAGGTCGCCATTATATGATAATGCATGTGCTTATCGATCAGATTTACCTGCCTAAACCCAATTCAGTACATTTGACACCTACCCAATATTCAGACATATTTAAGCCGAAGAAAATTGGCTCAGTACATGTTGTAGGTTAAGATTTCCCTACATATTTACCAGTTAGATGAATATACATATAGGTTGTACACCCAAAAATTTCGAACCTTGTTATCTGTTTTCACATACAAGCACGTCAAACTGTGCAAACAGTACACATCAACGGCGTAACCACCATTATTGATTCGTAAGGGCATATTTCGTCTAAAGAAAAACACGTTCAGGACACTTGATTTGAAAGTCTCTGTAAATAAGCTTCAAAAACTGCAGGTTCTTCAAGTGCTTGAGATGAAACCTGGAAAATAAAGGTTTCGTCGTGGAACCAGCACATATTTATTGGGTATAAAGGAAAGCAAACCAGGCAAATGTGAAAAAATGCGCAAAAATCGAGCATAAATTAGTTATCAACGGTATTTGTGTTGCCAGTCCTTTCCGAGACAAGCAAATTGAAAATTTTTTTAAAACACTGGACTTTTATATAGGAACGTTTGTAATGAACACCTCAAATGAAAAACTAGTAAAACTACCCAACCTCTTGTTAGCAAAATGCATCACTAGATGAGCACCAATAAGAAATTATTTCATGACCTCGGACTTAGCAGAAGTTCACGTCAATCACTGTGCTACCAACACACGTAGGTTAAGTACTAACTACTCACCAAGGAAAATGAGATCACCTCGTCTAAAGTGGAACTTCTCCCGGTTAACAGCATCCCGTTTGACTGCATTTTCCATATTTTCCTCCACTTTTGAAATTGGTATAAGGAAGTCCAATTTCAAAGAGAGAATCGTACGAGAAAGAAGAACAATAAACGTCGCGAATGCGGCATTTTCAAAATCAGTCAATTGAACCTCCATAGGTCTAAACTCAACCCGCCAACCAATATTTGAATTGGGTGGAGGGGGTTTGAATCGCATTGATTGCCAATTGGTAGATTGAATGTTCTAGAGATAAAATTGATCAATTATAAACTTGAAACCCACATACTTCAAAGTGATCAGTATCATTTTCGTCTTGGATTTCGAGTCTTTCTGCATAGACAGCTATAGGATCACGAATGAAAAGATGAGCCATGTGTTTGGCAAGAATCTTATCAATACCTGGAGGAAACGTGAACAAAATGAAGTCAAGTTACCAGCCGCCTGAAGTTCTTCGTAAATTTCCGCGTCATAAGGTATGCTTGTATCATTGTAAGCATCACCCTCTTGAGAAATGTAGGCCGACACAGAACCGTAACGAGATTTTGGGATGCGGAAACGGTCATTTACCAATGGCTGGAGGAAAAGAAGACAGATAGATTGATGTTACCATTTCCTCTTATAAATTTATCAGATTAGGCATACATATTCGCAGTTAGACTGAACAAAAAGCGAATATTATGAATAAAAAAGCGGACAACTGGTTAGGAACGAACTTCTAATTCTTCCTCAGAAATGCATAAACTTTACAGTTGGTATATGCATTACTTAATGAATGCTCAAAGCAACAAAGCCCACCTCCCATTGGCGTATTTATATGAAAATGCGACAAATAAAACTTAAACTTAGGAGAAATGCAAGCTAAAATGACATGTCAAAGGCAAGATTCACCATTAGATAATCACAATAATAATAATAATAAATAGAATGAGAGATTGCAAGTAAACAAAGCAGAATTTGGGAAAGAAATCCAAAATGACCAGAAATGTTTCATTTGTTCAGATCCATTCTTTTTCTAAGGAAAAAAGAAAAGCTCATGGGTATACTCAACTGCTAATTAACCATTGAGATAACAGGATGCTTAAGGCTTAATATTACAGAGACATATATGGCTTCGAAATCATTCACACAATGAGAGAACGAGATGAGGCCCAAATAATTTAAACAAGATTACCCTAAGACCCCGTTCTTCTTCAGTTCTATCGTCAACAGAGGCAGATATAATACTCCATCGACAGTCGGTATCCAAAAGGTATCCCCTAATAGCTGGCGAAGCCGCGCTCAAAGCCATCATCATAGGGCAAATCGTGGTTAACTGATCGTAAAGCATCCGAGCCTCAGAAATACAACAACCCTAGAAAACAGGAACAATTAGCAAGAATAAAAGATAGTCCATTTAAGAATCTGTATGAGTAAAACTTTACCTGAAATGTAACCTGAAGACAGCAGCAACCCATACCAAATCCCATGGCATCCAAATAGACATGATCAGGCAAAGCGGCCGTTGCACCCTCGTTGTCAGCTGGATCAAGATAGTTAGAGAAATCTTCGACGAAAGGTTTTGGAGTGTTATTATCACGAAAAACTAAAAAACAAAAAATATTAAAATTAAAATTGGATAAGAGAGATCGACATTAAAACAAACCAAAATTACTTGGCACATTGATAGCAACTTTTGAACCTCTTCGCTCCCTGATGTTTCGAGTAAGGACTCTTAATTCGAAAAATTAAATAATATGTAGAAAGTATATAAAATATGTAAAGAATACTACATTGCAAAGTACCTAAATCTTGGAAGAGAGCCATTAATAGCCTCCTCTGGATAAAAGAGGCTATGAGAAGCACCTTCAAGTGGAGTCGGTTTGATTGGTGGGAAAGTGAACTCAGGACAACCAAGTCTGCGCAGATGCAGGAATTAATAAATTAAAAACACTACAAACCTTGGAAACGTTGATAAGCAAATGATGTGGCAATTATCTGGAAGACGCTTTTGAACCTGCTCACGGCGTTTTTGCATATTAAATTCAACCGTATTCATGTATTCGGGCAGATGCCCAAAGGGTCTACCCGGTGTACCCTCAATCATATAATCGGCATATTCCGGTCCCCAAAGCACATCGATTGGTGTTCCACTAAAAAATCATTTTATGTTTAAAATCATACTAGTTATACATGTTACAAGAGTAAAGCATACGGTGGTAATTTGTTTTCGTCCCATTGCATATAGGGAACCAGCTCAGAGGCAATAAGGAGTAATTTGGCATTCTTTGTTTTGGGATCAACATGAATTAATGTGTATTCTATTTCATCTCCGAAATAAAGAGCAGCACCAGAAGCTTTCGCGAGTTTGTGGTATTGGCGAATGAATTGTCTTATTCCTTCACGACGGACAGTATCTGCGTGTTTTTTAGTTTCTTTCCATGAGAGGGCTTCACCGGATGTCATCAAGACCATCTTATTAGTGATAAACAATGTTGACCGTAAAGAAAGATGCTTGTCGATTCCAATAAACACATTGAAGGACATTGACATTTTTATAAAAGTATAACTGGTTAATATAGAGATAATCTTCAATTATTTTTATTTTAGCATAAATATAATGCGGAAAATAAGAGATAAATAAAGAATAGCCAAAATTCCGTGTAAGCACAGTTAATACTAGTGCAAAGAAATATATTGTAGGTCCGATATATTAAGAAAACGTGATGAATGACCAAAGGTTCCTATTAAAGTTTTAATTATCGAATGATAAATTTCTTCAATCAAATATTCGCATGAATATCCTTTATTATATTAATTGTCCGTGAAGCTCATAGCGATTTATAACAAATCTGTTGAGAAAACATCATTAAGTGTTTTAGGATACTTTGCCAGTAAGAAAGAAATAATTAATGACATAAGAGATAAATGATCATAATTTACAAAATATAGAAAACCAAATCCATTGCATTGATATAAATAAAGGTATTTTATCTAAGAAAGTTTCTCCTATACAACAATCGAAAATATGGATTATCGAGTACATTAATGCTATTCTGCTCATTTTTCTTAGTTAATTCAAGTGGTAAGCAATAACAATTTTAGTAAATACTTATTACCAATCGGTATTTATCGATTCGTTGTTTCTTTATTCTTAAAAATAAGTTAAGTTACCTATCTCATTTGACATGAATGCCTCGAAACAAAGAATAAAAACGAATATAGTTTTAAGATTTAGATGACTTGAAGTCTTTAAATGCGCTCTATCTGTATAATATCATGCCTTAAATTAAAATTACATAGAAGCACTTGAAACAATATTATTCTTTTCTGCACGAATATAAATATTCCGTTTAAAACGCTATTTTATCTGCAATGATATATATAAAATATAGTCTTATTAGAGTAAACTAATAGAAGTTCTAAGAATGTAAAAAAATACCAGATTAAATACCATGTTTTAATTTCCATTGAAATTCATAGAACGGTTAGATTCAAAATTAAAAACAAAAATTTTTGTAAAAACTTAAAAAACCTACAATTGAAAAGACAAAATATTTTTGTTAACCTGCATACATAAATCTTTTAAATAATTCTATGCTTTTATCACCGACGCAAGCTTACATTGGTTTATCGTGCGCATTTTATCTATTATCGAAATGTCAACGGAAGTTGAAAGTGGAGATATTACTCCTTCCAAGAAACCAAAAGGTTTGTTTCCCATGTTTTTTTCAAATTCTGTTTAGAGTCTAAATTTTATCAGCAAAAACTTTGGGCATGGCAGCCTATCTTGACTGCAAGTAATATTTGTCCTTATTTCTACGTCGTTGCCATTTTATTCGTGCCTTTGGGAGCCTTCTTTTTGGTCACATCAAATGCGGTAAATCAAATATTTCTTTTTTAATTTTGTAGGTTATTGAGAAATCCATTCCTTATACCCATTGTGTGGACCAGAATAACAGAACCTGCGCCGAAGTAATCAAAAGTTCACCGAACACTCCGTGCAACTGTATTCTCACCTTAAACTTGGCTGAAAACGTTCCAGTATGTGTTATTTTTTGTTATTTATATCGTCTTTAACGCTTTCAAATCTCCAATTTTCCGATAGGGTCCTTTATATGTATTTTATGGTTTGACCAATTTCTTCCAAAACCATCGTCGTTACGTTATGTCGCGTGATGATGAACAGCTTAATGGAAAATTGATAACATCTCCCTCCGGAGATTGTGCTCCATACCGCTACTCTAAGGTGGATGGAGTAGAAAAAATAATCGCTCCTTGTGGAGCAATAGCCAATAGTATCTTTAACGGTATGCTTTTCTTTCTCTTTTAACTGCCCAATAGCCCAGTTAGGATCATTGCTTTTTTTCGCACCCACTTTACAGATACTTTCGACATGGTCTATGTGGAGGATCATGAAGGTAATGCAAAACATGAAACAGTGAAATTTAATTTCGATAACATTGCTTGGAAGTCCGATCGGGATGTGAAATTTGGGAAACCTCCTACCTGGGCAAATACAACAAAACCAATTAATTGGGCTAAACCCATTCAAGAAATAAACGCAAATGCATACTCAGGCTACTCTCAACTTCTTGTATGGATGCGCACAGCCGCTCTTCCAAATTTCCGGAAGAGCTATGCCGATATTGTTCACGAGGGTGTGTTCGCAAAAGGTCTGCCTGCTGGTCAATATAGGATTACAGTTAAATACTGTAATGACTGTTCCGTTTGTTTCCTATTTATGTGTTGCTTGAATGATTGTATATTTCCCTTATTTCTTGTAGTCTATCCTGTAACTCAGTTCAGTGGAACAAAGCGTTTCATTATCTCTCAAGCTAGTTGGTTGGGTGGACAAAATCCTTCGTTGGGTATCGCGTACATTGTAGTTGGTTGCATACACGCAGCTCTTGCTGTTGTCTTTACTGTTATTCACTTCCATTTGCGCAGAAAGTGAGTGATTTCCCTTTAATCTATCCCCATTTATCTAATGTCTAATTTCCATTTTTTGTAGGAGACGAGGAAGGTTCTAGTGCTTTAAAATTTTTTCCCCACATTTTTTTGGGCTGTGGAACGCTTAGTTTGCCTCACTTCCGTTACTTTGTGACAGTTTCCCTGTTATGCTCTCCTTTCTCTCATTAATTGTGTACAGAGTCCTTCTCCTTTCCTCATGCTAATGGTACATTTTGCTGTCACCATAATATTTGCTATTGGTAATATTATTATTTTCGGACTATCGACGCTTCATTGATTTCAAATGGTTTCTTTGCCAAGAGTTTTATTTTGCAGGAACAGTCATGTTCTTTTTTCTCAATCGTGTGATAGATGAACAAGAGACTAGAGCGTCACGTGACTAGATAGAGTTGTTAAAGTTCATGTAAATATGACCTGCATCCGCGGATTTGGCTAAGGTAGGAGCCAAGATAATTTTTAATCGAAAGTTCAACGTAAACCTTCATTACCCGATAGTTTTAAATGTGAAGGCGTCAAGTCTGAGATCCTTAAATATCTATTAACTGTGAAGAATTGAGTCCCTTGAAGATAGGCCAGCGGTGTTTGAGGGTACGCAAGTTTGCTTCATTTCTAAATTGGCTTGATATTGGGATCCCGATAGGTAATCCATCAATATCCAGAAAGTGCGGACGACACTTTCTGTACGCAGGTGGAAATCGAATTCAGATGGTCGATACGTTTGACAATGTGGTGAATAGATCAGTTGAGCAAAAATGAAGATATAGCTAGAAAACTATACAAGACACGTTTTTAATAATAAGACAAGTGACAATTAAAGAAAATCCGTCTTAACATTTGGGGCATTGTAATGCCACTTTTGAGTGTCTTTCTACGTAAGTATAAAGGAGAGATAATGTAGAATCACAATTTCGCTTTAATGATCTGCTAAAGCCACTTCCAAAACTAAAGATTTGCCAAGATTCTATAGCATAGAGAACAAGAACAAAAAAATTGCACCTAGAAAACTGTGAATTGATGTACAGATTAACTAAAGATGTGCAGAGTTGATTGTCTAGTGTTCACTGTTAATTAGGTGAATAGACAATATTCATTTATATCAAATGGCAGGCTTTATGATAGCTATCATTAGCCTTTTAGTTGACTTCAGGCTTCACAGATGGAGAGGAACATCAGAGTGACAAAAGGTCGAGAGGGGGGGGGGGAGGTGAACAGAAGAGGGTTTTAAAGATGTAAAAGAGACAGACACAAATGCAGAGAAAAGGTAAGATCAGCATTGTGGAAGTGGTCGAATATGACTTACAGTGGGGTCATGATAGCTTGTACTCAGAAATCAACTGCCGGTTTATAGACTTTTTGTCGCATGAGTATACGTTGCCCAAGGTGCACCACGGGGAGGTAAGTCTATCGCACACCCCGAATATACAATATAAAATTCAAACATGGCAATGGAACAGACGAGTCAATATGTACATATATAATAAAGCCGTATAGACAGCACAGGCTATTTCCCAACAAATAATGGATGTCATGATAGCGGACTTCTTTTACACTGTTGCATACCAAGACGACGTAAGCATACTTGACTTATCGCACCAAGAACTTTAGAAATATATCATCGAACTTCGACACAATAGTTCTTTATTGTTCCTGTTTTTTTCACAAGTCAAATTGTAAGGTCAAACCTTGTGTTTAGTGCATAGGCAGAATATGCCAAGTGCTACAGCACTCAAATAAGGTACTGGAACCTCATGATACCATCACAAATTGGATTCGCGTAAAACATACCCTCATCATTGTCATCAAAAGTGCTACAAATCTCGAGACAAAGAGATATTGAAGAGGTTTTTTTGCTTATGATCTCATTGCACATAGGGTGTGCGATAGGCTTACCTCCACGTGATGCATCCTGGGCATACTCATACATCAAAAAGCCTATTAATCGGCAGTTGACTTCTGACATCAAACTACCATCACCCCACTGTACCACCCGCAGTACTCACCTCACCTTTTATATACCTTTTCTACCTTCGTCTTTGAAACACTCTTCTGTTTCTCCCCCCTCTCGACTTTATTTCACTGTGATGTTCCTTCCCCTCTGTGAAGCCTGAAGTCAACTAAAGGGCTAATGATAACCATCAAAACGTCTGCCATTTGATATAAAAAAACCCATTGCACATATTTATTGAGTCTGAATTTTAAGAACTTTGAGAGCTAAAAGTTTGCTTCCACTCCACCGGGATCTTTCAGGTATTCTCACGATTTTATTTGTATCCAAAAATTGTTCAAAAAATTCGAGCAGATTCAATTGTCAGAGAATAAGGATTTACAGGCAAGAATTTAAAACCAATCTTGCATAAAAAACACAAACATTTGCGGTTAAATCAACATGTGGACTTCAAATAAATTTAATTAGGAAATGTACCCATTGATGGCCTCAATTAATGTAGACCAAGATATAATTTAGTGGAATTTTCGTCACAGTGATTGAGACAGTTGCCTTCAAAGGAGCGACGTTTTCAAAGTGTTTCACTGCGCACCACAAGGTAATGTGGTTTTGAATTCGTAAATAAGGACTTACACCTCTTTAACACTATCATTTATTTATATCAAATGGCAGGCGTTTTGATAGTTGTCATTAGCCCTTTAGTTGACTTCAGGCTTCACAGAGGAGGAGGAGAAACATCAAAGTGACAAAAGGTCGAGAGGGGGGGGGCAGAAGTGTTTCAAAGATGAAAAAGAGACAGACACAAAGGTAGAAAAAATGCGAGGTGAGTACTGTGGAAGTAGTCGAATATGACATACAGTGGGGGTGATGGTAGTTTGAAGTCAGAAGTCAACTGCCCATTGATAGACTTTTTTGTCGTATGAGTAAACGTTGCCCAGGGTGCACCACGTGGAGGTAAGTCTATCGCACACCCCTAAACACTATCATAAAATGATGATGATAGTGGTTGGAAAGTCCATTACCTCAACTTACCCCATTCCAGATGTTTGTCATTTATCCTGCCATCAGACAACTTAGGATTGGATCTTGATAGTGTGTTCTTGCGGATCTGAAGGAAGTGAGGTCTCCATTCTCTAAAATTCAGCCCAATATCCCCCAGTTACACTGATAAATAGTCTCCAAGGGAAAGTAATTTCTCACGTACTTCGAAGAAAGTGGTCAAAACGATTCATAACTCAATCCCCAGGAGATGTTAATAAGCTAAGAACAGTACCCTCCTTCCCACCTATTTGCTAGCTGCATTACTTAAAGCTCAGCATCTTTACTTACAAGTCGATTATGAGAAATATTCACTGATGCTCTTTCAGTGTTGTGGATGATCAAACACAATGATTGATTGTAGTCAAAAAGGGCAGTGAGTGAACTCGAATTTCTCCAGAATATATTCCTATACCAAAGTTTTGTGTTGTTAACGCTCATCTTTCAAAAACTTGGAAAGTTTTTTTCACTTGTTTTTAAAATGTGTAAGGTTCTTTAAGCCTCACGCACATTTTTAATAGAATTGATTGCGTAATATCTGCGGTGATTGCCAAATTAAGGACCTCATTGTAAACATTATCCAAAAACTCTTGTCGGTAAAATAGGCACAGCAACTGAGGCGGTGGAAGCATCCATGGTGTTAAATCGTTCGACCGACAAAGCACCGTGAAAGCCGGAGCTGCGATATTGATTATTTATTTTAAATCAAATGCCAGGCGTTTTGATGGTCATCATTAGCCCTTTAGTTGACTTTAGGCTTCACAGAGGGGAAGGAACATCACAGTGAAAAAAGTCGAGAGGGGGGGGGGGGAAGAAGGGCGTTTCAAAGACGAAGGTAGAAAAAAGTTGAGGCGAGTACTGAGGAGGTAGTCAAATACGACATACAATGGGGTGATGGTAGTTTGAAGTCAGAAGTCAACTGCCAGTTAATAGACTTTTTTGTCGCATGAGAATACGTTGCCCAGTGTGCACCACGTGGAGGTGTCTATCGCACACCCTGGCAAAGTTCCCAGGTATAAAAGTGCCCCCGAAATTAGCCTTGCAAACTCAACAGTATTGAAAGTAAGAGGGTGTTTTGAGTGGATAGCTCATATTACCCTTCATGACCCGCTGACACAAGGCTCAATCATTGAAATATAGGATGTCCCAAAAAATATTTACACACTTAAATTAATTATAAACATAGTGTTTATTATTAATTCAAATATGTAAAAAAAATATTTGCAATTACCATTTTATTGTTTTTTTTCAAGGTTTGTCCATGCTCTTAATGACGATAATCCGCACCGGGTAGTACGGTTTTGCAAGTGATACTTAGAAAAACGTGTGTTGTAAAAGCGGATTTTTCAAGAAAGAGTGTGAGGTGACAAGGCCACATTCAAGTTGATTGTTTAAATTAACCGCCCTATATGTGCTTATTGAGGACCTGAGAAACCACACCGTCATGCCAATTTTCCTGAAATTACAGTGTGGTGCGGTTTATCATCATTAACTGGACTATTCTTTTTTGGCGCTGCTCTAACCGGTCCCATTTACTTGAACTTACTGCATCAGTCTGTTATGCCAGGCATTAGAGAAGACTTTGAAGATGAAGGGTTTTATTCTCAGCAAGGTGGGGGCACCCTCACATTACCATCGCGATGTTAGGCCTTTCCTTGATGAGGTCTTGCCAAACAGGTGGACTGAAGGAAGGGGTTTTGTTGAACATCCTCCCCCGTTCACCAGACCCCACACCACTAGATTTTTTCTTAAAGGAATAATTAAAAGACAAAGTGGATGCTTCGAAACCTGCAACAGTCATTGAATTAGAAAAGCCCATTGAGCAAGAATGCGTCCAAATCCCAAGGGAATTATTTCATGATGCACCCGATTACACTGCTTGGTGTTGTCAGCAATGTCTGGATCAAAATGGGTGTCAGTTTGAGAACAAACTGTGAAAAAGAATAAAATTATACTTATAAAATTTTTAACGCCTTTGAAATAATAAAGTTCTAATTGAA